CCTCCACCCCATGAACAACGCGAGCAAGGCGACGACTATGAGTCTGAGGGCGACCAGCTTCGGAGTAAGACCTTCGGACAAGCAAAGGGGTGCTGTGGATATGCTCCGGATGACGACTCCAACCATGCCTACATCACCAACGAGGAGTTCGAGATCGCCGCGAAGCAGTCCTTCACGAACTACAAATGCGCTCCCGTGAGCCCTTGCGCCGAGGACGGTTTCTCCATTGCCTACAAGAACGGTGACTATGACTACAAGACCCTACAGATCCTCCTCAACACCCTGAACTACAAACCCGTGAAGGCCACAAGAGATCGGGTGTTTGGTGGGAAAACCGGGGACTATGTCAACTACTTCACCTACGGGATGTTCACGCATGGAGGTGTCGTGGGCACCACGACCAAAACACGAGAATGCGACAACGTGGCCCGGTTTCTTAATGGCTTTGGACGACACCATCTTGGGCCCAAAGCGACATGGTCTTCGATCTCAGTGTCTCTTGACACAGCGACTGAGCTGCACCACGACTTCCACAACTGCTACGGCACGAGCAACTACACGATCAGTGTTGGACAACGAAGCGGTGGTGGGCTCTGGATCGAGGATAAGAATCTAGAGGAGGATGCCCCCAAGGACGGCATCAAATGGCGCAAAACCAGGAACGGGCACTGGCTACCCGGACGCGTCCACTCCACCAAGAACAACTTCGTCGAGTTCGACCCCTTTCTCAAGCACGCCGCGGAGCCGTGGGAGGGGACCAGATGGACGTTAACCTACCACACGACCCGCAACATCTACAAGGCCGGCGACGAGATGAGGAAGTTCCTTAAAGGAGTTGGTTTCCCTTTGCCTCAAAAGGGAACCCATGGCACAAGGCCAAGTGGAGTCAGCAAGAAGCCCAAGATGAGTACGCGACGGTGCATTTTTAACAATGCGGCGAAGATCGGGGTGATGATGGCCACACTCATATCCGCAGCGGGCAGCTACATGACCGAGCACGTCTTACCGGAGTCCCACCCGGACCCCGTCGTCCTCTTTGAGATCGGAGGAACGGAAGCAACGCACGAGGCAGCGATGCTCGGAAAGGATGTTTTCGAACCGATGTCATGGGAGCGCTACAGGTCGCCGGAAGGAAAGGACAATGCGTACCACATCGTGCACGGCGGCAGTCCCAAAGAGCTTTGGATCAATCTAGATGGCCGCCCCAAGCAATGCAAAGACGGCATCCTTGAGTTGATCAAACAACAAGTCGAGGATGGTGGAACAGTTGTGGCAGCCGGTCCCGCCGAGGATGACGTTTTCCACGCCTTTAACGCGGACCCCGACTTCGAGAAGGCCCTCAAGTACTACAACGAGACGAATGGCCGGGTTTTCACCGTGATCTTCCGCGATAAGAAAGAAGCCAAAGCTGTGACTTGCAACGACAGAGTGCACGAGGTCAAGATGGTCGCAGCAGATTCCGGTGATGCCGACAAGGAACAACCGCTCGCCATGGGAGCGTCAGGGATCACGTTCGGGGAGCACACCCCCGGTGTGGTCGCCACAGCTTTAAGAAGACTACATCAGAACCTCGGGCATCCTCGCCAGGAGGATCTGGTGAGGCACCTCAGGCTGGCAGGATGCGATTCGGCTATCCTTAAAGCCGCCCGCTCGATGAAGTGCCAGGTCTGCGACGCCAATGCCGCTCCGAAGATCGCAAGGCCGAGTACGATCCCGCCCATGGTGGACTTCAATGACACACTGGGGCTGGACCTGTTCTTCTGTCACGACATCGACGACGTCAAGCACGCCTTCCTTTCTGTCGTCGACTATGGCACCTCGTACCACCTGGCAACTCGGGTGGACGGCCAGTCAGCCGAGGACATCGAGGCGAAGTTCAACGAAATGTGGCTTCTGCCTTTTGGACCACCAAAGGCGGTGGTTATCGATCTGGAGGGCGGACTACAAGCCGCTCTCGGGAGGATGTGCGATTGGCATGGCATAGCAGTGCGCAGTGTGGCGACTCAGAGTCACTGGCAGGCTGGGGTCGTCGAGAGACAACAGGCTTGGTGGAAGCACGTCTGGGACAAGGTGAGCTATCAGCTGAGCATCGGAAACGACGAGGTCGACGCCGCGGTCCCGGTGATCAATGCCGCAAAGAACGACCTACGACGGCGCTGTGGGTACAGTCCTTCGCAATGGGTCTTCGGAAAGGCACCCAGGGTCCCTGAGGACCTACAAGACCCCGATGGTGGCAGTCACGTCCTCTGGGACGTCAGCGAAGACGCGAAGTACCAGAGGCAAGCTGCAACGCGGGCCGCGGCACGGGTGGCCTTCCATGAGAGCCAAACTGATAGTCGTCTCCGCAAAGCTCTTCTTCAGCGGACCAGAGTAGCTTCGAGACCAATGGAGGTGGGAGAGAGCGTGCACTTCTGGCACAAACCCAAGAATCGAAGGCGGGGATGCTGGTCCGGACCAGCTGTTATTGTCGGCAAAGAAGGCGGCAACTACTGGGTCTCAAAGGGAGGAAGGTGCCGATTAACTTCGGCCGAGCACCTCCGTCCCACAACTGCTGAGGAAGTCGGTGCTCTACTGTCGATGCGGAACACCCAGCGAGAAGTTGAGCGACTTCTCGATCATGATCCTGACGGGGACGAGGCCTACGAGGAGGACGCCGACTTCGCCGACGACATGAGCTGGCACGAGGACAACGAGGACGGAGAGCTCGAGGACTACCTCATCCCTTCCGGAGATGAAGCACCTGTGCTCGATGCCTACCAGGAAGGAGAAGTTCCGGAGCCTCCCCCACGGCGACTCAAGCGGAAGACGGCGGCGGCTGAGCTCAACCCGAGCCCGAGCCGCTATGAGGCGATGATGCTCAAGACCCAGCTGACCACCCGTGGCCTCGAGAAGCGTAAGGAGAAGGAGTTGAAATGGACGGAGATCCCCGAGGAAGTTCGTCACAAGTTTCGAGAAGCTGAACAAACTCAATGGCATGAGCACTTGGCATACGACGCCCTGGAGCCGTCGTCACTCGAGGACAGCATGCGGATCAAGAGCGAGATCCCTCCGGAGAGAGTGCTCCGGTGTCGTTGGGCTTACAAGGACAAGAACTACGCGAAGCGTCGTCAAGGCGAACAAGTGCCATGGAAGTGTAAGTCAAGGTTGGTCATTGCAGGTCACACTGACCCAGACTTGACAGATGATTCCATGCACCTATCTACGGACGCGCCGACTTTGTCGCGGAGCGGACTCGCATGCATGTTGCAGCGCACAGCCGACGGGCTACATGAAGGAAACCCATGGACCTTGGCTGCAGGAGACATTAGGTGCGCCTTCTTGACCGGAAGCTACCTCACCCGCGAGCTCTTCATGCACCAACCAAAGACGGGGTTCCCAGGTATGGTTCCCGGCCAGTTGGTCCGCATAAAGAAGAACGTGTTCGGACTGGCTACTAGCCCGCATACCTGGTGGCAGGACCTACAGGATGGCATCCGGAAGCTCGAGATCAACTACGACCACGAAGGAAGGCAAGGTACCTGGAAGTTCGATCAGAGCCCTATGGACCCATGCGTCTTCATGCTACGCGAATGGCGAGACGAAGGGTTCGTTGGCAAGCCGATTGCCTACCTCGGCTGCCATGTCGACGACTTGTTGATCGCCGCGTCCCGGCGACTACAGTCCCTCATTCAGAAGGGCCTGTCCGAGATCTTCCCCATCGAGACCTGGGAGGCCGATGAGTTCGAGTTCCTCGGCTCCAAGATCAGCGTCAAGGACGGTGTTGTGCGGATGAACCAGGAAAAGTACGCGGAGACCCGGCTCTTCACTCTGGACATCCCCACCGGCGTCGACGAAAGCGATCTCGCCCCCACAGAGCTGGTGAGCGACAACAGAAGCCTCATAGGGGCGTTGTCATGGATGAGCGCACAAACGCGCCCGGACCTCACCTGCTCAGTGAGCATGGCGCAGCAGCTGCAGAAAGCCCCCACTTATGGGGACCTCAAGTTCACCAACACCATTGCTGCCAAGGCTTTCCAGTTTCGCGATCACGGCCTCGAGTTCAAGGCGATCCCCGAAGGCCACCTTATGCTCGTCGTCTACCATGATGCTGCCTGGGCCAACGTCCCTGACCCGGACCCGGACGAGAACTGGTACATCCTCACTCCGGAAGAAGATCAAGCGGGACGACAGCGCGAAGGCCCGTACACCGGAGGAGCGACAAGACGAGCAAAGAAGGGCAACTCCAAGGTTGCCTCACAACTTGGCGTGTTGGTGACCTTCACCGACAGAGCCGCTCTCGCCGGCAGGCCCGGCAACAGCAACGTCGGGGACTGGCGCTCCAGAGCCGGGCAAAGAATCTGCAGGAGCACTTTCGGCGCAGAGACACAAGCTTGCGCCGAAGGGCTAGAGACGGCCCAATATCTGCGGTCCATGTACGAGACCATGATCCAGGGCCGCATGATCACCGTCGAGACAGCCGTGCTCCCTATCCTATGCCTGAGCGACTGCCGCTCCCTCTACGACCACCTCAATCGCCAAGGAATCCCGCGTGTGCCCAGTGACAAAAGGCTTGCCGTGGACCTCGCAGCCCTACGTCAAGGTCTGAGATCCGA